TTCTGACATGATAGAGCTATTTTGACGTTTAGCATGGTTTTAATAATAGAGTGTTTAATTTTTTTTAAAGTAATTTTGTTTATTTTTGTTTCAGTATTCTTTGGATATAAGCTGTACACAGCCTTAACAGAAAGGGAAAGAAAAAAGGCAGAAAAAAGACGTCAAAAGCTACAAAAGAAAAAGAAGTAAATGCAACATTTTTTACAGACTCTTATACAAAACAAAAGCATTCCATTATTTTTTTATTTAATTTTTCAAAATATATATGTAAGAAATCATTTAAAAAGTGTAATATTTTCATGTTGTCTTTGTTGATAGTTTAATTAAAAGTTGTTTAAATAAATTTTGTTTAATAAACAAAAGTGTTTTTATTTTTCTTACATACTATGTAAGGCTAGATTCCCTGAATAAAATAAGTTATAATAGAAAATAAATTAATATAATTTTTAACTAATATAGGCAACTTACATAACAAGTACAGAACATAATATAGGTAACAATTATTATAATAATTATTGTGGATTGTGATATAGCCCGTAAAATAATCACAAAAATGGTTGATTTCGTAAAGACAGTTAAAATAAAACAAATGTTCACATGGATAATTTAAATTTTATTTGTACAAAATTGGAATACAATAATATTAAAAAGACATGTTAATTTTATTAGTGCAGTTGTTTTTAGTTAGCAGTGCGTATCATGCAAATATAATACTGACGTTTGACATAAAAAATGGACAATATACAAAATTTTAAGTAGATTTTAACGATTATTTATATCTATCCTATTATATTGATAGAAGGCAAAACACTTTTTTGTAGGGATGGGATAATTCATTAAAACAAAGGGGCAAATTATTAATTTTTATGAAATAAAAGTTAATGATTTGTTTTTTACAATATATTATTAAATATTTACATGGTCCTTTCTTTTATAATCTTGAATACCACGTCAAATAAAATAAAAAGCTGTGTGCTTATAATCCTTGTTTTAATATGTAACTTATTTATTTTTGTGTTGGTTGTGACTAAAATTATGGGGGGGAAATAACAAACATCCTTTAGTATTCATTTTAAATATTAATATTTATTTTAGTTCATAATTAGGTTTTTCATAAGAATAGAACCAGTTCGTCAGATTTATCACTTTCCATCACAATTTTTTTCCATTCCATGTTTGGGGTGAAATTATTTATGGACACATTAAATTGACAGTGACTACCTTAAATGTACGTTCTTTAAATTGTTTTTGTCATTTAGGGATGTTACATTTTGACACTAGTCACAAAAATCAATGTCAACAATACTTTTTTGTACAAATTGGCAAAACAAAAATTAACGTTTTTCTCAATATCTAGATGTTTTTTGAGGTATCCGGTTGCAATTTAAGTATTAGGCAAAAGTAATACTTTATGAAATAATAGTTATTTTAACATTAGATGTAGTAACACTTAATAATAATATAATATTAATGTGTATTTTGATGATGAGATGCACAGAAAATTTATGTTTTCAATTTTGACTTAATTATATGGATTTTAAATAGTGAATATTATAGATATAATGCAAATTAAGTTTTAAATTTATAAATTATTAGGTTGGTTTATAAATTTCCTTTATTGCAATATGTGAAGTTTTAAATTTAACATAACTTTAACTTTTTATTATAAAGTATAAATTCTTTAATTTAAGTGCAATTTAAAATCACTGTAAATTGCCCACTCTGTATATTATATAATCTAATAACAATTTTACATGTTTTAAATAAATTCGTGTTACATATGTTTATTTTACCAAACAAACAAATTAAATGTAAATTTTATTTACTTTAAAATATTTTGTTATAAATAAATGTTAAAAGGTGATATGCAATTAATTCATAATTTTAAATGCGGGAATAATTTTAGAATTTTTCTCTACATTCTTATACCGTGTTCAGAATTTAATTGTCAGAAAATTTATCAGGTGGTAGAACTTCTTAAAATATTATATATTATATATATATTATATAGTGTGATAAATATCCCTCAAGTGAGTTAGACCCTAAAGCCTCTTTATACAGGGTGTTTTTTAATTGAAGGGTGATACTGAATGTTTGATGATTTTAAGGAAAAAAGTTCATATAAACTTAGATTTGCAACTGCTAGACTGCGTCTAATCGGATTAAGACAAAACGATCTTTTCACATAAAAAACTTTAATATTTAATAATGTTGGTTTAAAACGACAAAAAGGCAATACATAAAAAAGTTAAGGTTACGTTTTTCCAAGTTGGTATTTTAAGAAGTTCTACCATTTAGTACATTTTCGAAACCTTTTGTTGACAGGCTGTATATTTTTATACTTCATTATAACATTTTACTACAAAGGGTGTCCACAAAAACAACTTTTTAGGAAGTAATATTACTTCATTTAAAAAAATTGTTTTTTTTATTTTTTTGATAATTTAAATGCCCTGCTGGAACAACATTGTAAGTGCCAGAAATTTGATTTGTGGAATATCGAGAAATTTTTTTTTGCTGTGTGTTGCTTTTAAATAAAAGTACAATACACAAAAGCGACAAAATGCTTCACATCTTTCTTGCCCTAAAAACCAGCATTTTGTTGTTCCACTGTGGCATTAATTTGATGAACACTCCGTATATTTTGGGTAGAATTTCAAAATATCTGAAAACGGGTTTTTGCTGGTGTTCAACTAATTTTTACCATTGCATTACTCTACAGTATTAAAGCCTAATATTTATATTCTCCAATTAAAATTTACTTTAACCTTTGGTTAATTGTACCCTATAATTTTTGTTTATTTCATGATAATAATATATCTTCTGATCATAAATTTAAATATTTCATTACTTATTTTAACAAGTGCTTATATTTTAGAAATAATTCATTAAAAATATGAATATTCTCAACGTTTTCATATTGAACCACTTAAAAACTAAATGTATGTCAAAAATCGACCCACAAAAGTAACAGTATAAAATTGAAGGGTGATACTGAATGTTTGGATGATTTTAGGGGAAAAAGTTCATATAAACTTAGATTTGCAAGACGATCTTTTCACATAAAAAACTTTAATATTTAATAATGTTGGTTTAAAATGACAAAAAGGCAATGCATAAAAAAGTTAAGGTTACATTTTTCCAAGTTTCAGTCCGTTAACAGTAGTATTTTAAGAAGTTCTACCATTTAGTACATTTTCGAAACCTTTTGTTGACAGGCTGTATATTTTTATACTTCATTATAACATTTTACTACAAAGAGTGTCCACAAAAACAACTTTTTAGGAAGTAATATTACTTAATTTAAAAAATTTAATTTCTTAAAATTATTTTTTTTAATAATTTAAATGCCATGCTGGAACAACATTGTAAGTGCCAGAAATTTGATTTGTGGAATATCGAGAAAATTTTTTTTGTTGTGTGTTGCTTTTAAATAAAAGTACAATACACAAAAGCGACAAAATGCTTCACATCTTTCTTAAAGCCAGCATTTTGTTGTTCCACTGTGGCATTAATTTGATGAACACTCCGTATATTTTGGGTAGAATTTCAAAATATCTGAAAATGAGTTTTTGCTGGTGTTCAACTAATTTTTACCATTGCATAATTTTACAGTATTAAAGCCTAATATTTATATTCTCCAATTAAAATTTACTTTAACCTTTGGTTAATTGTACCCTATAATTTTTGTTAATTTCATGATAATAATATACTTTCTGATCATAAATTTAAATATTTCATTACTTACTTTAACAAGTGCTTATATTTTAGAAATAATTCATTAAAAATATGAATATTCTTAACGTTTTCATATGGAACCACTTAAAAACTAAATGTATGTCAAAAATCGACCCACAAAAGTAACAAGACCCAATAAATACCCAATTGTCTTGTTATGATCCATTTTTGAAGTACGAATAAAAATTTGAGTACAAAACATTCAGTATATAATTTCATTTTTTTCCACTTGCAATAAATGTGTAAAACAAATTCATAAAATTAAAGTCAATATTCAAGTATATAGAACTTTAATTTCAATCAATTTATTGCAACGCGTTACTATATTTACATAAGTTTTGAAAACTTGAATATATAAAGCTATACGTAAGAGACCCATCCCTACATTAATAATTTTTTTAAATACAATAGCTTACATATTAATTTGTGCTCATCTTTTTGGCGGTTCCTGTATTTACGACAAGGGTAAAGTTTTAAGTATTTTAAGTGTTTTTTAGAAATAAGTCATCTTTAGATGCAAAGGGTTTAGATCTTTGAATAAATTCTATATTGTATCACAATAAAAAATATCAAATATAGCAACTTTATTGAAAAGAATTATTAGTTTTAGATCTTTAGGTGATCTAGAAAAGATTTTAGTCCTGTGTATTCTTTTAAATATGTTGCTTTAAAGGTTATATTGAAACTTGTTGATACTTTTTTTATATCTTACTATTAATATTGTAAGACAAATTTGAGGATCAAGAAGTTTCCTTATACAAAAAACGGAATTCAATTAGTTTATAACTTTCAATCACGAGCCATTCTCTTCCGTTTTAAAAATTTAATCAATAATCCTATACAATAATACATAATTAATAAGGCGCACTAAGTATTTAGCGTTTAAGTGTAAAAATATTAAAATTAATGATTATGAGTTATGCCTTTCATTTTTGGTCTGGTAAAATCATGAAATGAAATGGAAACTTCAAAATGTTATGTCGGTCACAATCTGTTTTCACAATCCACAAAACAAGACCTTGTTGTGTGGATTGTGATGTAGGTAAAGTCAAAGTTAAAGAACTAATCGCACTGGTTAAAATATTTTTCAATTAATATTTTATCAGTTTTTATTTGGACATGTTATAGAACAGGTCTATAGGAAATAATAAAATATTTCAAGCAAATTTTTAAACAATTAAAGTATATTTTAACCAGTTTAATAATAGTTAAAAAAAATTTAAAAAAACAATAATAAATATGAATAAAATATAAATTTATTTTTATCACCAAAATTTAAAATAAAATAATAAAATGAAATGACTAAAACATAACTTAAACTATCTGCCTGTAAAATGGCTATGATTGAACCAGTATGTGCCAACGACAAATCTGCTCTTGCTGGAATTCTTTCATGTCCATCCAGTGGGCCAGTTCTTCGGCGCCACTCGAGTTCAGACCCATGCTGAACCAACCGACCATCTCTTTCTTTTTGGTCACCCCCTTGCGGTTGTACACTGACACCATAAGGGTAACGTCCGCCAGTTGAAATAGAGCCACCTGAAACGGCGAATATAAAGTTTTATGGCGTTGTTGCAAAATGGCGAATGCGCCGGGATAGTGGTTGATAATAGTTATTTACGATATAAGTGGGATAAGAGCTTTATTAACGTACGCATGCGAAATTTGCCCAACGAGTGCGTAGCACGAGTTGGGCAATCGCAAAAGTACGTTAATAAAGCGTTATCACACGAATATTGTACAAATTTTTATCTACGCCTCTAAATGAAAAAATAAACGGTAATTATTTTTGTCTAAGACTTAATTTAGGGTTATTTTGACATTTTGACTTTTTTATTTGATTGGTTAAAAGCAGAGAAAAACGCGTGCGTTAATGAACTTCTTATCTCACTCAAAATGAGTGGGATAAGAAGTTCTTATCTCACTGGCGTAGATAAATTATTATTTTTGGATTTGGAGTAGGTAGGATAAACCACATAGTTATTGGACACTTAAGGAATATTATTTATTTTAAATTTATATATGAGGAGTGATTTTTCAAAAGGTCGTATTTCCATTTGCAACAATTTTTCAAAAAAATGACTATAACCTGTATAGGTTAGGGCAATATAGATTATTAAAAAAAAAATTCTGATGAATATTTAATAATACTTCAGACCTGCTGTCATATTTGGCCGTTAATATATGCCTTTTAACAATACCTTTGGGATTTTGTCAAAAAATTACATTCAAGTAAAAATGGAAATAAGGCCTTTTGAAAAATCACTCCTAATATGCCGTTGTTTTAAAGATTTTAGTTTTTGCTTATAAATATATAAAGGGGGTAGTTTGTTTGTTCAAACTTTATTTACGTTTACTTAAAAATAAGAATATTTGAATTTTTAATAATAGTTTTATAAAAACAGGCAAAAAAGTATAGTAATTGGACATTTTATATAGCAATTGGACACATGGACCAAGTTATTGGATATACAATTTTTATATAAACATTACATCAAATAACACAAATTGTTAAATATTATTTAAAGATAAATTGCTATTTTAGGTAATTTTTTTATTTCGTTTTTGTAAATACCATATAATTCATATATTTCTTTCTCGGATTCCTCATCCGTTTTCTGAATTCTGAAGGTAACTAATAATTCCTTGGTCTGACTTCTGAAATAGTTTGTTGCAAATATCATTAAGTGTGGTATATCTAGTTTGTGAAGCATTTATAGAATTTAGGACGGAACAGGATGATATATATACGAGGTGTGTTCAGAAAATAACGGGAATTGTTAAATTTCGCGGGTTCGGAGGGTCCAGTTGTCATAAAATTTTCTTTATTATGTTGGTATACATGCCCCCGAAGTATGATAAAAACTTTAGCTGTTTTCATCGTTTACTTTGTCTGTGGAAGCCGCTAAGGTTAGACGTGTTTTATGAGCTCGGCGATTATCGTTCCTTAAAAGAAATGGATCAAAGAATTTTGTATACAATTTTGCTTAAAAAATTAAATAAATTCTGTGAAATGTTAACAAAGGCCTATAGTGAGTCTGCTATAAGTAAAACAAGAGTTTACAAGTTGTATAAGCTCTAGAGTTTCCAAGATGGCCGTGAAGACGTTGAAGATGACGAACGCCCCGAACGCCCAAGCACATTAACAACCGATAAAACATGGAAAAAGTGGAAGAAATGGTTATAAACCATCAGAGAAGTCGCTGATGATGTTAGCTCATCTCATAAAATTTTTTCGAATGTTTTGGGTATGAAACGCGTGGCAGAAATATTTGTTCCAAAATTGTTAAATATTGAACAAAATTTTGTCCAAAAACAATACTGTAATGATGCCCCAGGCTCCATATTCGCCAGACATGTCTCTGTCTGACTTTTTCCTATTCCCAAAAATAAGGATAACCTTAAAGGGCCGTCGTTTTGCAAGCATAGATGACATTAAAAGCGCATCGCTGAAAGAACTAAAGGCTATCCCAAAGATCGAGTTTTAGAAGTGTTTCGATTATTGGAAGAAGAGCTGGCACATGTGCATAATATCCAATGGGGACTATTTTGAAGGCGACAACATTAATGTAGACGAATAAATAAATATTTTTTTCAAAAAACGATAATTCCCAATATTTTCTGAACACACCAAATATCTAATATTTTTTCGGGTGGTATGATAATAGTATATTCCGAATTTATTAATTTTGTTGCTATTAGTTTTTGATGTTTTCTATATGTTCACTGTATTTATATACTGATACTCTGCAAGATGTCCTGTGTCGAAGAAATCACTATATTACTTACTCTCTAAAAATGAATTAGTCAAAAATGTCATAGCGAAAAAGCAGCCACTAATAATTCTCGTCAACAGCAGTCAATTCCTATGAAATATTATTCGCTGAATCCGAAAATGTCGTCAAAAGTTATAAAAGTAGAACAGTTTTTGAAATATAATGAATTTTACATATAATATGGAATTGACTATATCTCAAAAACTGCTTAACTTTTAAAGTTTTTGGCGGTCTTTTCGGATTCAGGGGACAATTTTACATAAGAATTGGCTGGTAAATATCCGGGATATAAATAGAAAACCTTTGATATTGGACATATGTCCAATAATAGAAATTTACATTTTTTACCAACCAGTAATTGGACACTGGCCATTTTACTGTTTGTTTTCAGAATTAAAATTAAAACGCATTAAAGTGACAATGGTTAAACCATGAGGAACTCATTTATACCACACACTGATCTGTACACTTTTTAGAAATATTTTTTATTGTAATTTAAACACAGCCCTGCTCTTAATAAAAAAAACAAAAATCTCTTACCACTAAAGTAACGTGCGAACTTTTTTGTCCTATATTGGACCCAAAATAAAGTAGTTCTATATTATTACCGACTGAGATAGTTATAATTATACAGTGCTTGCAAATCCAAGTCCGACCGCGTTGGGAAGGATGGTTGTTCAATACCCGCGTGAAAAGAATAAGGATAGAATGCCAAACAGAATTTGATTGGTCAGAGCGTCAGGCGTGCGTATTGTAAGCGCCTTCTGTTTGGCGTTCTATCCTTGTTATTTTTACGCGTCCTTTCTAAAGCGGTCGGACTTGGATTTGCAAGCACTGTATACAGCGTCATCTAATAATTTGACTTTAAGGTAACTATTTATAGAACTCTTGTTTTTACATTATTAATATTAATTGTCCAATAACTATAAAGTGTTCGATAACTGCCTACTTTACCCTACCTGAAGTCTACTTTACATTTTTTTTAAACTTCTTTGTTATTAAGTAGTTTTCATAATATTATTAGCTAAATATTTTTGTTTAGCCTTAACATATTTGTTAAAATTCGTTGATTTTGTAAGATTAGTCGATTATAAGAAAAATTGTATAAGTAAACTTCTTGCTTTATTCTATTATACAGATTTCTTACATAAAAACTTGTCTGTTAATTTTAACTTATTTATTTAATAACTTGATGACTAATATTTGAATTGTTCTAAAAATAAATACACTTCTTTTTACGTTATAAATATCTCTATTGTATAATTTTCTTTTTCTTTTTTGCATTTATTTTAAGAAATATATTCATAATAGTAAATGTTACATGTTTTATAAACTCCTTTTAGGTTACGAGTTTAATTATGGACGGGGGTAGCTTGCGGAGCGAGTTTATAATAAACGAGTCTTTTTAGGAAGTTTATAAAACACAAAGTAATATTTTTTAGAATTTAAATCCGATTTTATTTATCATTTTATCTGACAAATATCAAGCAGTTTTAACCTTAATTAACCAGTATATTCAAGGAAATAAAGAGTTTTCATGAGTATATTATGTAACTAGTTTTATAATAGTATATTAAAGAACTAATGTCAAAAGACGTAATTTTGTCGCACGCGGACAATTTATAAAACGAGCGACGAAGGAGCGAGTTTTGTAATGGACGAGTGCGACAAAAGGTCTTATGACATGAGTTCTTTATGATATTTTATCTATTTTGCAAAAATTCTATAAAAAAATTAATTTTATACCTTAAATTTAATTTGGTCGAATTTTATTTTAGATAGTTGGTATCACAGTCATTGGTTTGACAGTTAATGTCAAAATCGATTCGCCATGCCGTCCTTAATTTACTTGTTTACAATAAGCGGCTGTTCATGTTAAAGAAGAAAAAAAGGATTTTCTTTGGTGTTAAACAAAATTTATTGCCAGAAAAGTCCCGTAACTACTAGAAAAATCATAAAAATATTATAATCAATATGCAAAATTTTATGCTGTTTAAAGTATAGCCAACCTATAAAATCAAAATTTTGGGTGGGATAAAGTATCTCATTACAGCACCGAAAGCGGTGTTTATAATGAAGTCATTATGAACGCAAAATAGATAAAGGCCATTAAACACCCGACTTTAATTATGCACGAGCAGAGCTTTCGGAGCGAGTTTTTAATATATTCGGTTTATAAAACGAATTTTATTAGTGTTTTAAAGGTTACTTACTTGGAAAATAAATATTTCTTTGAAAAGAGGGTTTGGTTGACCTCTTCTAACAGTGGTTTTACTTTGGGCCAGTTCTTGTCCTGTACTGCTCACTAAGTTTAGTTTTACGTATGTGTCAGGTGCTCGATTTAAAGAAAGGTTCCTAAAAATTAAAAAAAACAATATTTAGTTTATTTTAATAAGATGCACGTAAAAATTTTGCCCGTGTAAATTTTTTAGTGTAGGGGTAAAAATATTAGAGTTGATTTGTAAGTGTAAAAGTTACAATACAAAATACACTAGGTAGCACATTTAAAGAATATGGACATTATTCATTGGTACATTCACACTATTTATTATTAAAATAAATCAAAAGGGTAGAAAAAGCTAATGCGAGTGTTTATTACCCCTTAATGTGTTAAATAGTGACAAAGTGTACACTACAGTGCATGCCAATTTCTTTGTCAGTTACTAAGAGCTCTTTTTTCTTCACACTACTAGTGCCCATTGCAACACAATTAAAGTTAAATTACAACAATAGTGGCAAAATAGACTGAAAAAACTGGTAATGACCGAAATGCGTTTAAAATGTTTAGTTGGTACCTATCTACCTACGCAGTGCATGTCCGGAGATACCGCGTTGTGGAAGTGTGGCATTTTTGTTCAGTTAGATTTAAATTACGTCGAATCCATAAGGGGACATTCTTATTTTTTGGTAAGTATTATACTTCCTTTTTCTTTAAGCCTTAATACTCAAAAAATACCAATATGTTAAAAGGATGTCTATACCCAACCTATATTATATATTGTAGCGGGTACCGCTCTGGATATCGGAGTGATGACTCATCGCCGATGAGTCATCGCCGGTGAGTCATCGCCGGTGACTCAGCGCTCGAACATTCGAGAGCGTGGAGCTCGCTGGAATGTTCCAGAAGACCTTGGCGCTGAATATATAAGAAACAAAGCAGCACAGAGCAGTCAGTTAAGATTTGGTACTCGCGGCGAAATAAATAAATATAAGTGCAAATAAATAGAAATAGTACAATAGTGATAAATAGAAATAGTACAATAGTGATATATAAATAATTAGTAGTTAAGTGTTAAGTTAGTTTTATAGTGTTTTAAGTGTAGTTAAGTTATTAAATAAATAGTTTAGTTCGTTAATAAACCAGTGCGTGTTTTTAATTCACACTGCGAACAGTAAAAAACGTTACAATTGGTGTCAGGAGTGCGGTTAGTGTGAAACTTCGCGAAAATGGTTTCGTTAATGGACTTAAAAGTGGCGGACCTTAAGCGGGAGCTAGAAGAAAGGGAATGTGATCCAACTGGAAAAAAGAATGTGTTGCAGCAGCGGCTTCGAGAAGCGTTGGAACAGGAAGGTGAAAATCCAGATACGTATTTATTTGAAGGTTCGTGTGATATGCATTTATTGTTGCAAAATTTGAAAGGTGATTTGAAACAGAACATTCTGGAAAATTCCAACGACTTACAACAGAAAATGTTAGAAAATGTCAACGATTTAAAGGACGATTTGCAACAGAAAATGGTGGAAAATTCTAGCGATTTGAAAATCGATTTACAACAGAAGATTTTGGAAAATTCCAACGAGTTACAACAGAAAATGCTAGAAAATTCTAAAGAACTGAAAGATTTAAAGGATGATTTGCAACAGAAAATGGTAGAAAATTCTAGCGAATTAAAAGTCGATTTACAACAGAAAATGGTGGAAAATTCCAACAATTTAAAGGATGATTTACAACAGAAAATACTGGAAAATTCTAAAAATTTAAAAGAATATTTGGAACAGAAGATTCTAGATAATGCAAATGAATTAGAAAAGAAAGTAGGACAGAAATTGAATGACGTAAGGATGGAATTGGATGATAAATTAGAAGTCAAAATTAAAGAAATAAATAGTAAACTGACAGCTGTAAATCTACCCATGATGCTGGCGGAACCAGGAACAATGCTGGAGGGGAGCCGAGTACGGATGAAACCACCTCAGTTCGATGGAAAAACTTCTTGGACAAATTACATCCGTCAGTTTGAGGCAGCAGCAAAATCAAATGGCTGGCTACCAGAAGAAAAAGCTACAGCATTGACTCTAGCTTTACGCGGAGATGCAACGGACATCTTGCAGACACTCTCTCCCAACGAACAAGAAGATTACGAAGCGTTGGTTAAACATCTGGAACTGCGATATGGCCAGACACATCTGGAACATGTGTACCATTCCCAACTGAAGAATCGCTGCCAGAAATCTAACGAGACTTTGCAAGAATTTGAGGCTGATATTGCACGCTTGTCCGGCTAGCATATCCAGCTACTCCAACGACCGTTATGGAACGATTAGCGGTTCAAGCCTTTTTGGATGGACTTCGAGACAACGAAACAAGACAGGCTCTAACACTGGCTCGTCCGAGCCAACTGGTTGATGCATTGGCTCGCGCTTTGGAATTCGAGGCGGCAAAGCAGAGCTGCAGGAGCCAGCCTAGAATTAGGAGAGTCGAAGAAGAAAAGAAGGAAGAACCCAGGATAATTGAAGCAATTAGGCGAGTTCTTAAGGAGAATTTACCAGAGAAGAAGGAAATCCGGTGTTGGAGATGTGGAAAGCTGGGACATAAACAAAGTCGTTGCAGAGGAAGTCAGGTGGCGCCGACTTCATTTAGAAAAATAAATAGGGCCGAAGAAAAGGATGTGTATATTCGCAGGACTACAATCGTAGATGATCATTGGCAATCCGCTGAGGTTCAACAAGACCAGGAAAGGGACCCGGATTTGAAGCTCATCATCGATTGGAAAAAGAACGACCATAAACCAACGTGGCAGGAAGTCGCCAATATTCGCCGAATGTGAAATCGTACTGGGCCCAATGGAATTCCATTATCCTAAGTGACGGGCTTCTAAAGCCCGTTTTGGAGATGCCAGAAGGGGGGGAAGACCGGAAGCAGATAATAATCCCCAGAAACAGGATACCAGAAGTGCTGCAGGAAATCCATGATGGAACTACTGGAGGACATCTTGGGGTGACCAGGACGCTCGGAAGACTTAGGGAACGGTTTTATTGGGTCAACAGCCAACGGGATGTGAAGGAATGGTGCAAGAAGTGCGCCGTTTGCGCGGCAAGCAATGGACCCCAGAAGCGCCCAAAAGCCCCAATGCGACAGTACAATGTGGGAAGCCCATTTGAGAGAATTGCAATCGACGTGGCGGGTCCATTTCCGGAAACAGAATCTGGAAATAAATACATCATCGTTGTAATGGACTACTTTAGCAAGTGGGCGGAAGCGTACGCCTTGCCAAACCACGAAGCTGCCACAGTGGCCGATGCCCTTATTAAGGAGTGGATTTGTCGTTTTGGTGTGCCAATGGAAATGCATTCAGACCAAGGCAGGAACTTTGAATCTATATTGTTCCAGAATGTCTGTAAGATTCTTAATATTCGGAAGACGAGAACGACTGCATTACATCCGCAGTCTGATGGAATGGTAGAACGAATGAATTGAACGATAAACCGGTACCTGTCCAAGGTAGTCTCTGATCACCAAAGAGACTGGGACCGCTTCCATCACCTGTTCCTGTTGGCGTACCGTTCTTCTGTCCACGATACAACCGGCCAGACACCCGCTAGCATTGTTATGGGACGTGAACTTCGTCTACCTTGTGACTTGAGGTTTGGTTGCCTACCAGGGGAAGATATTGCTGGAGAAGATTATGTCAGCAATTTACGTAAGAAAATGAGCGACATTCATAGCCGAGTTCGTTTAAACATCCAGAGTGCCAGTGATAGAATGAAAGAGGCATATGACATCAAGGCGGAAAATGGAGGATTTCAACCTGGAGACCTAGTTTGGTTATACAACCCTCAGCGCCGTCGTGGTTATTCACCGAAGCTGCAGACTTCTTGGGAGGGACCTTACGAAGTCATGGATCGAATAAATGACATCATCTACAGGATCAGGAAACAACCAAGAGGAAAGCCGAAAGTGATCCATTTTAACCGATTGGCTCCTTACGCTGGAAACAATGATGACCAAATAAACGACGCTAGGGTAAGGAGGTTTAATCCGCCGGAAGACGAATTGCCTTTTGAAGACTTCATGTATTTTTATTCGAGCGGTAAAAAAGCTCGGTATGGTGTCACTCGAGAAGAACAAAAAGATCTGTTCACGGTTTCGGCCGATTACTCCTTGGCTCACTGTGTTGCAGAAGACCTAAGGATGTCCAGGGGAATAGCGGTTGTCTTTAAAAACAAGTTTGGACGGGTCGACGAGCTACGAAGGCAGAATCCCAAAGTTGGAGAGGTGCTTGAAATTGTGGATAATGAGCAGATAGGCAATAGAAGTATCTTCTATCTGGTAACGAAGCAGCTCTCCCATCATAAGCCAAACTACCGTGACGTATGGAATGCCTTAAATAAATTGAGGGATACCCTTTTGTCCAAGGACATCATGAACCTGGCGATACCGAAGATTGCTTGTGGACTTGACGGTTTAGACTGGAGAATAATTAGAAGCATGGTGGAAGTTATCTTCAGATTTAGTGGCATACACATTCTTGTCTGTTGCCACAACCCTAAAAGAACAACCGGAAGGAAGACCGTAGACTGCTACTTCTATAGGACGTCACAATGCAAGTTTGGATCTATATGCAAATATCGCCATGGAGCTGAGGACCATTATCGGGACGAAAATGTTTTAAGACGGGGGCAATGTAGCGGGTACCGCTCTGGATATCGGAGTGATGACTCATCGCCGATAAGTCATCGCCGGTGAGTCATCGCCGGTGACTCAGCGCTCGAACAATCGAGAGCGTGGAGCTCGCTGGAATGTTCCAGAAGACCTTGGCGCTGAATATATAAGAAACAAAGCAGCACAGAGCAGTCAGTTAAGATTTGGTACTCGCGGCGAAATAAATAAATATAAGTGCAAATAAATAGACTCTAGTACAATAGTGATATATAAATAATTAGTAGTTAAGTGTTAAGTTAGTTTTATAGTGTTTTAAGTGTAGTTAAGTTATTAAATAAATAGTTTAGTTCGTTAATAAACCAGTGCGTGTTTTTAATTCACACTGCGAACAGTGAAAAACGTTACAATATTAATAATTTACGGCAGTAGGTCGGGTACGTGTAACATTAATAATATAAATACATACACACTTGATTTACCTTTTATTTTCAAGCCTAATGGTTGTTATATTAACCTATACCTAAATTTTTATTATATTATGGAAATTTTGTACACGTGTGGTAAATCCCCGACATACAGCCGCCTGACGCCTATCTACCAATGGAATCACCCATTTTTTATAACAGAAAAATGGGTTACTAATGAATTCTCAAGATAATTGCTTACAAGTTGACAGCCAGTAAAACATTGCATTGATCTAAAACTTTTACGTTTTTTACATTTTGCTTAAGCCAGCCATACGACTCAAATATAAAATTATATTTTAAAAGGCACCGATTTTGATAATTGTCATAGATTTTTTTTTCAAATAAATGTTTCTCTTTATTTACCTTTTGGTTTTATTCACTACCACCAATAGGTTATACTCAAATAATAGTGTTAATTTACACTAGAAGTTTGTACTAAAAGAGTAAAAGTACCTTTCTAAAATTAGAACTTTTCCAAAGTAGTGTTAATTTACACTAAACAAAAGTGGGATTTTACCCAGGAAGTGTAGAAGTACACGATTTTAGGTAAATTAACACTTTTTAATACAGTGTAAAATTACTTTATCCTCAGTGCTATAGTGTTAAATCATACTTGCTTACTTGGGGAAAATTACACTACAAATTAACTCTAATTGTAGTGTTATAAAACAGTACTATTTAGTATGGACCTGTGTGAACTCTAATTAGTGTTGCTTAAAAATTGGAAATATTAAAAAATATTTTTACCTTAAATGTGACCCTTTCACAACTTCTACATTAAGTCTACCAGTGGTGGCGTTATAACAAAGCCCCAATAACAATTCCGGCACGCCTCCGTGTTGCATGGAATGCGTGGAACCAGTGCTATCGGATCTTGCTAAGCTCATAAGTTCACCAGTGCATCCGCTTAGCTGTAAAAAAATATATTTTTAAATAGAAATAATTTTTGTTGTATTTTCTATGTTACCGTTGTATTGGATCTTGGTTCGAGGTTTAGCCAAAAATTGTTCTCTAACTCCAAATTGATATTGGCGAAGCTAACAATAGCTTCGCCTAAAAGCCTTTCACGTCTCATTCTTTCACAGCCATATAAACGCAGTCTTACGCCCATCGAATTTACATCCTCTGAAAAAAATATACAAAATATTTTAGTATAACTAGATAAAAACAAACACTGTTTTTTGAGTTCCACGAATTTAATTCAATTTTATTTTGACAATTTTTTCGTAAACACAGTAGCTTCTTCAGAAATGATTTCAAACTTTCTCTAATAACAAACTTACAAAGTAAAAAATTTTGCACGTGTAAATTTTTTAGTGTAGGGGTAAAAATATTAGAGTATATATATTGATTTGTAAGTATAAAAGTTACACTACAAAATACACTAGGTAGCATTTAGTGCTTATTAACTTTATTAAACACATTTAAAGAATATGAACATTATTCATTGGTACATTCACACTATTTATTATTAAAATAAATCAAAAGGGTACAAAAACTTAATGCGAGTGTTTATTACCCCTTAATGTGTTAAATAGTGACAAAATGTACACTACAGTGTATGTCAATTTCTTTGTTTGTTTTGATGTTACTAAGAGCTCTTTTTTATTTACACTACTAGTGCACATTGTATCACAATTAAAGTTAAATTACACCAATAGTGGCAAAATAGACTGAAAAAACTGGTAATAACTGAAAAGCGTTTTAAAATGTTTGGTTGGGATACCGCGTTGTTGAAGTGTGGCATTTTTTTCAGTTAGATTTTAATTACGGTGAATCCATAAGAGGACATTCTTATTTTTTGGTAAGTATTATACTTCTTTTTTCTTTAAGCCTTAATACTCAATAAATACCAATATGTTAAAAGGATGTCCATACCCAACCTATATTGTATATCAATAATTTATGGTAGTAGGTCGTGTTCTTGTAACATTAATAATATAAATATATACACACTTGATTTACTTTTTATTTTCAAGCGTAATGGTTGTTATATTAACCTATACCTACATTTTTATTAATATTATGGAAAATTTGTACACGTGTGGTAAATCCCCGACATACAGCCTCTCTACCAATGGGATCACTCATTTTAATTCTCAAGATAATTCATTGCTTACAAGTTGACAGCCAGTAAAACTTTTACGGAACCATTTTGCTTAGGCCAGCCATACGACTCAAATATAAAATTATATTTTAAAAGGCACCGATTTTGATAATTGTCATAGATTTTTGTTGCAAATAAATGTTACTCTTTATTTACCTTTTCGTTTTATTCACCACCACCAATAGGTTTTACTCAAGTAATGGTGTTAATTTACACTAGAAGTTTGCACTAAAAGAGTAAAAGTACTTTTCTAAAATTAGAACTTTTCCAAAGTAGTGTAGTACACGATTTTAGGTAAATTAACACTTTTTAATACAGTGTAAAATTACTTTATCCTCAGTGCTATAGTGTTAAATCATGCTTACTTGGGGAAAATTACACTACAAATTAACTCTAATTGTAGTGTTATAAAATAACACTATTAGTGTGGACCTGTGTGAACTCTAATTAGTGTTGCTTAGAGTTGATTTTTTTTACTGTGTATATAACCTAGTTATTGCAGGTAATGGGTTTTTTAACCAATTTTAGTACAGTATGACAATTTTACCTGAAGTATAATTTAACAACAGTTGATTTTTTTTACTGTGTATAACCTAGTTATTGCAGGTAATGGGTTTTTTAACAAATTTTAGTACAGTATGACAATTTTACCTGAAGTATAATTTAACAACAGTTGTAATTAACTAATTTTGGGGATTTTTGTATAATATTAGAATAAATTTAAAAGAGAGGAATTATTTATTTCTATTTGATCATTGAGGATACTATCAGATTTTTTTAATTTATTAATTTCTAAGGATTCAAGTAAATTTAACTTCGTACCTTTATCTGCAATATGTTAAATTTTAAATTTATTATTAAATGAATGGTTTTCTTGATTAAATAAAGTTGAATGTGTTTTTAGATTTATAAGAGATTTTCTATGTTCATTAATTCTGGTTTTAAAATTCCTGCCAGTTTGGCCTATGTAAGTTTTTGGACAGTCTGCACATTGTAGTTGGTAGACTCCAGATTTCGTATCTTTCTTAGTTTTTTATAAATGTACTCAAATTGTTGTTGGTTTTAAATGCAATAGAAATATTATGTTTTTTGAAGAAATTCGACACATGTATAGTGTTGAAATAAAAATATACATATCCTTTGAAGGACTAATAGGTCAGCTCATGACTAATCAGAATATCAAAACATGAACTTAGTTAAAAATAATTAGCTTTTAAGATATTGGCATTTTTATGAATTTGTGAAACTTGACACATAAAATCAGTTTTTCGAGTGCCAAACTACAACATTCTATATTCTTAGATTATATTTTATTTTGCGTAGCCCTGTATAGGACTGCTATTAATTACAATTCAAAATTAAATTAATAGTAGATTTTGTAGCTGTGGCACTCGAAAAACTGATCTAAGGTGTCAAGTTTTACAAAATTCATAAAAATGACTATATCTCAAAAACTAACGTTTTTTTACTAAGGTCATATTTTGATTTTCTGCTTAGTCATGAGTTGGTCTATGTCCTCCAAAGGATATCGTTGACTTTTGGGACACCCTGTATATATCCATCCATGAAAAGATATCTTATGTTAAAATTTAAAAAGTTCTGAAAAAATATATATTATATAAGATAATAAGTTTTGTTTAATATAAAATATATCCCGTATGGTCTAGTGGTTAGGATACCACAAGGTTTTTTCTACTAAATTTTTTTCTAAATAATTCATTGGTATAAATGTTGTTATGTAATTAGTTATAAGACAAATAAATGTTTTAAATGTATATCATCCAAAAAGCTCCGATACCGGAATACTTTTTAAAAAATGAATATTTTGAAATAAAATTTCAGAAAAAAAGTGAAAATAGCTATAAGCTTATTAATTAAGAACACAAATTTTTAAAGATATTTCAAAAATCGTCAGGTAAAATTGAATCGGTGAAAATAAGAACAGTACAAGTCCAAAAATTTTATTTCGACAAATCATTTTCTAAAATCAATTTAAAAGTTCAAAATGCATTTTTGTGAAAAGATATAAATTATTTTACAAAATATGATAATTACATTTTATAAAATAAATGCATTTTCAACTAAAAAAGGGATTTTATGAAATAATTATGTTTTAACTTTTACTGATCTTAATCTCACCGATTCAATTAATATTGTTTGCGGGACCTAGTCATTAAAAAAAGGTTAAAGTAGTTGCGATTATATTTGAAACGCTTACATTTATCAAAAAAAACTAAAGAAACCTTTTTTGTAGATCACTTAATTTCCAACAAAAATATGTTCTACTCATTTTAAAATCCCAACTATTCTGCGAGTTATAAAATTAAAAAAAAATGTTTTCACTTTTAAATTTTGACCTAAGATATCTTTGAATGGATAGGTTTATAAAAAAATATATAGGATACCTTTTTTGTAGAGCTTTAAATTCTCTATTAGAATGTTTAATTTTTTATGGAATCTTACTAATATTAAGGGCTCATACAAAGTTTATGTGTTTCAGCGTTTTTTAAAAAAATTTACTGTTTTCAAAATAATCACATGTTCCGGGACTAACTGTATATATTTATATATATATATATATATATATATATATATATATACATAATTAATGTAAAAATCTATTATATAAATATTCTTTCAATCAACTTAAATTTTGTTAAAGTAAAATAATTTTAGTTTTGACAAGCATCTATTTAAAGACAGTCCTGACGTTGCATGTTGCAAATTTTAAATTAAAATGAACTTTTAACGTAAACTTCAAAATTTAATTAAAAATCAGCAAAAAATCATTCTGTACGACTCGAAATATAGAGTAAAACTAAAATTAACTTAAATATGGAAAAGTTAAATTTGAAATACGGATTTATTTCAAGTACCTACGTCATTATATCACCGAAGGTAAATTATATTTTAGTCTTTTTGGAATAAAAATATAAAATGTAATTTAATTACCCGGATTAACTCGATGCAGAAGAAAACTTTCCATGTATTGGGGATTTTCTCCTTGTCGAATTTTTGTTTTGTGCTTTTGTTTTTTGCTCGGCAAAAGCAACAACCGCACCTGAAAGTATAAAAGTTAATAAAAAATGCATATAATACGCTAAAAAAGTATCGGGTTTTCGCAACGCGCGCGCCCTCTGGTGGACTTCGAATGCATTGCGTGAATTTAAGAATTGTCAACAATACATTTAAAGCACAGATTATACATTATTTTTAAATAAATAGGTAGTTTTTTTATAAAAGAGAGGAAGGCAGAAGTCTTACTCGACAAATTTTGTTTAATTGCACAGCTAAATCGCGCACGGTATTTTACGTTGCAAGGAAAAAATTTAAAAAAAATTTTAGTACTGGATTTCGATTTATTATTCGCTATATCATTGATTAAGAAACTCAACGCTTAAATGCCTATATAGTTACGTTAGTGTGTGTATTTTATCAAACGGATCATGGTGAATTATTGTGTTTTTAATTGTAAATAAAATTCAAGAACTAAATCGTTGCATTTTCATGTTTTGCCAAAGGATTCAATTCGGTAAGTTCATTTGTTGGTGCAGACTTAACTAATGATAACTTTACCTAATATAATTTATATTTAAGTTTGCTAAAAACGCCGACAAGTGCATTTTAAACAACAAAATATACCTACGAATTCATTGCAACATAATATTATATATATAGGTAATATATATTATTATATATATATATATATATATATATATATATAATACATAATATAATGGTATTTTACCGTTGAGTGGAGACTTTCTTAATCAACGTTTTTAATAATGCTAAATGCTGTTTAAATTTATACGACTTATTTGTTTGACGATTTTTACTAAATTGAAATGTTTACACTTTTCACGTTAATCACTACTAAAATGTGTATTTATTAGAAGTGTGCGAATAATATTCGATTCGGAACTCGAATCGAATAATTCGAAAATTCGAATTATTCGAAAGTTCCCGAATAATTCGAAAAATTTCGAATTATTAATAAACTATTATATTATTAGCGAATTTTCGAGTATTTTAAATTCAGGGTTTCTTATGTTCAATATTCTAATATGTATTTAACAGTCATACATTCTAGATTTTTTATGTTACCGACAGAGATGAACATATCGTTCGGTAACTACGTGGCCTAACTAAGAAAACGCAAATTTTTTTGGACAAAAAACATTTTATTTTTCAATTTAGTCTCCAGCTCCCTTAACACACTTATCCCAATGATATTCTAAATTAGCAATGCCTCCCTTGTAGGCCGATGAATCCAAGTCCTCGAAATATTATAATTAATAACGTAATCAGCATGAAGTATCTAAATTCGATAGTATGATTTACATGTATTTTTATATTTTATGAGATTTTCTGACATAAATGTTATTAGAATTTAATAAATAAACTTTTTAACTAAAAAAAATTGCAACAATCACATTTTTTTGATGAAATTGTACATAACGATTAAAATAAATTTTCGAATTCGAGTTTTTTTCGTTATTTATTATAATATTTTTTGCATTTTCTGAGAACATTTACCATAGTAATGTATATTTTTTTACACCATCAGAAAGTAGAGATTTCAACGAACAAAAAGCACACCGACTTTTTGAAAAAAGCTGATATTTTGACGCGAGAATTTTCGATTGAAAATTAGGGTGCTTTTTTGATATTAAGTCAAAATAAGGCGAAATAATAAATATTTCAAATCAAATAAATTACAGTGTATTTGGGACATAAAAAGGTAAGTTTTCACCAAATTTCGTGGAAAAAATTTTTTTTTTGAAAAAGATAAATAAAAAACCAAAAACTTGGTTTTTTGAATTTTTCACATAAATTTTGAGGTTATGTAAAAATTTGTAATTACAAAAGTTGTAGATCCTTTTATTACCTACAACTTTGCCATTTAACTTTTTTCCATAGCGGAAATCGAGATAAACCATTTTTTACCCTTAAAACCTCCCCCCCTCCCACTTCCCGTCAGATCGCCCGTAATTTATTTTTCCTTTCATTTTTATTATATTCTTTTCCTTTTCCAATGGGTTTCATCCTACTGTTATTTTTTTTGGTTTCAAAAATTATCGACCCTGGTCTAAAAACTCAACCCAGGATTTCCTCTCGAAATACACCCAACAACACAATAAATCGAGCCACGGTTTTTTTTTCGATATTTTTTTAACGTTTTCCGGCTTTATTCTCAAAAACAGCTGAGTGGTGGCGCTACTAGCGATACTTCTTTAGCGTATACTACTAATATTTTTTTACCTGGGTGTGTGTGGGTTGTCCACGGTCCCTGCTCGGCACGTCGCGAGCTTGAAGCACGTGAACTGTCATTTTCCTCATTGGTGCATCGTACAGCAACGCGATCTCCAAATGGCCGCACTTGCTGATCACAGCCGACTCGGCCAACTCCGAGCCTACTCCGCAAGACAACAGCTCGCTCTTGTCCTCGCTATCTGGATTCATAACCACGATGCACTAAAAAAAGGAAAATACTATGTTTTAATGCACAGCAAACGGAAAATTATAGAAGTGTACCTATAGGATGACTCCGCGTTTGAATATCAAATCTTAAAGTTTTATCATAACTGTATTGAATCGTGCTTTGTTTTTATATTTTTCGGCTCTATACCTATGCACGACTATATTTAAAGTCAAACTCAATGGTGTCTTACAAGATACATTATTTTGATTTTCTATATTCAACAGAGAGGTAGAAACTCGACCCTGTCGAATGGTGCAGTCATTTATGTCTCTAGAAATTATTAAAAAAGGGTTCAGTCCAATGGTGCAGCAACTTCGGATTCCTATTCTCCTCAGAGACATAGAAACTCAAGCTTTTCGAATTTTACTGGCAATGATTTTCGTTAATGTCCCCGAGAATTATACAAAAACAGCGCAATGCAATATCGCAACGGTTTCGACTTCTCTTTACTCTACCAAGTTATAGAAACTGGAGTCTCTCTAATACTGTTCTAGTCAATATTTCTGAGAGTATAAAAAGAGGGTGTAATATTGCAAGAAGTTTTGATCTTTTGATGGATGCAAGTAGTTTGAATTTTCTCATTTCTGCATATGATTTTGTTGAAAATAGTTCCTTTCTTTGGTTCCTTTGTCTGATTTTTATTTACCCTAACAACTCAGGTATGTAAAGCAAAGAGGATATGATGTTAAGTATATTTATGTATTAAATAAAGTACCTATATTTGTATTAAAAATTTCAGAGGTTATGTTGAAAAAAGGATAAATATGCATATATGCTATTAAACTTTAATAATTTAGTAATGAGGTCTGTCGGTAGACCCTGCACTATCTCCACTGGTATATGTTAATACAGCAATATTTAAATCTGGTTGATGAAAAAGTACACACCAGTGCAGGTTATTGTAGCATCTACGAACAAATGAATTTATGGCCCATTGGCAATTATTCCTTTAAGAAAAATACTCAACACAGCTTAATTAATTAATAAAATGAAAAAAATCACAATCATGTCGTATATAGTTTTATTTAAGCATAAAATAATTTTTATATTAATACTAGTTCAAAAGTGAAATTACGACCTCTATACTATGGAGAGTATTGAAACGCTCGACTGACGAATACAAATCTATACCGTGGGGAGATTTAGAAAACGATATTCAAACGTGGCATCATCCTATACACTTCTATAATTTTTCGTTTGCTGTGTATTGCTTTTGGAACATTGGGGTATTTATTACAAAGGTGCAAAATTTAATTTAATTTTAATTTTTTAAATCTGTACTCTTGTTTTTAATATAGTAAATTTTATACACTATTCCATACCAATTCCTATAACATTTTATTTAAGAAATATATATTTTAAAGTTATAAATAAAAAAATATAAAAATATTTCAAAACTCTCAACAGTTTGTTTGTTACAGTTCTTGGTAACTCGTTATAATTTGCATTTGGATATTTTTTAGTTTTTTTGTATATATGCCTTCTCGAATTTCTTTTTTTTGTGTTCATAATTATATTCTCACCTTTAAAACACAGATTTCAGGCTTTTTAGTCACGGGCTGAGGTTAGCTTAAGTAAGTTAATTGTTGTCAAAAGTTATAAAATTGTCAAAATAATGTTTACAAGAAAATAATACCGAATGTGAAAATTATTTTTTCTACTCCCACCATTATCGTTTATGTTTCCATGACACCAAGTGACCTTTTAAATACACATTAACAAGTTGTGGCTTTATGGCGAAGTTAGCAACATGTTTTAGTCACGGGCTGATGTTAGTTTTAAGTTAGTAGACAGTTGTCAAATGTCATACAATCGTTAAAATGAAGTGCTTTTCTTGTAAAACAATACTAAATGTGAAAATTATTTGATTATCTTAATACAAAAATACAAAAGTATGAAATAGTTTGGTGACGCCAATATTTGAGATAATATAAACGTTTGTACTGACCTTTTAATTTAATATTTGCGTACAGTGCCCATAAAATATTCTCTTCTCTTTTACTGTGAAAAACTGCTTCTATATCGATTGTTAGTTAGTTAAGGATAAAATATTTTCCTAACAATCATTAACTGCAGTTTTAGTGATTTTTTACACTTTTCAAAGCTTTCAAACATACGAATTTTTGAATTAAAAAAAATAATCCTGGCATACGTTCTTTGGGAAATTTTATGCTCTACAAGAATCCGCGACGTAAAAAATTTTATCTCAAACGGTTAAAAAGTTATAGTCTTTTTAATGAAAAAAGATTTTTTTACGTGTTATTTCAATGGAAAACTTAGAATGCTCACCGACACCTTTTAAAATTGGGCAAAAAATTTTGCCATTTTTTTCTCGGTATGTAGGTTCGTTTTAACCCATAAATCCGATAGGTTAGTTTTTTTGGCTCACCCTAATGTGCACGTATTATTCCATTTTTGAAGGAGAAATTTTGATTTTTACACTGACATTTTGAAAGCCGATAAAACAGATTCCTAAGTCTATTTTTTTGTAAATATCGCTCTATACAAATATTTAATTTAAATAATTTTTTAAATAATAATATTAGAGAAGAAAAAATATATTATGCAATATGTTTATAAACATTTCTAGTCACTAATTATATTAAACACTCGCTCGCAAGCTAACTAAAATGTCCTTTATCAAACTTGACACATTATATACCTTTATAAACAAAAAACATATATCAGTCCTAAATAAAGTATTTTTGCCTATACACAAAATATCAAGAAACCCCTTTTAAAGATAATATAATATAAAAATGAAATAATATAATAGTATATTATGTATCAAGTTAAACCCCATTTTATACGCGAATTTAATTAATGAGTGTATAGAAAAGTTTATAAACAAGGTGCATACTATACTTTTTCTACGACAAATACTTATTATTACCTTAAAATGATTTAAATCAAAAATTTGTATAGTGCACCATCTATGAAACAATAGGGGAATCTGTGTGTCACTGTCAAATGTCACATTTTTGTATTTTATAAACACAGATTATAAAGGTTATAAATCGAAATGTATTTCTTGAAAATTGACAGGTTTTCACAGTGAAAGTAAAGAAAATGTTTTATGAGGACTTTACAGTGGAGTCCGTGCTCGAATTTAAGTTTTAGTTTAGTGCCGGCGAAATTAAAAGGTCAGTACAATGTTCGTATAAACTTTTCAAGTATTGGCGTTGAGAAACTATTTAATACTTTTGTATTTTTGTATTGAGATAATAAAATAATGTTCACATTTAGTAATATTTCACAAGAAATGCACTTTATTTCAACGATTGTATGACATTTGATAACTGTCAACTAACTTAAAACTTTAGCCCGTGACTAAAAACCTGTTGCTAATTCCAGCCCGTGACTAAAGCGCCATAAAGCCACAACTTGTCAATGTGTATTTAAAAAGTCACTTAGTGTCATGGAAACATGTACGATAAAGGGCGTTTTAAAGGTGGGAGTAGAAAAAATAATGTATGTCCAGGTTTAGTTATTGTCTATTATACCCTTTTAAGATAGTTTAGAAAGAAATGTCCCTTATAAAAATATAATTTATATTTATGTTTGGTTATTATTTATAAAATCCTTTTCAATACCATTAAATAATAAATTTCCAATATAATCAAATATTAATCAAATAAATAAATAATTTGATACAAGTAAGATAAATCTTAGGAACGTGATTTGATTTGGGAAAGCGTGTACGTTCGAGTTTAAATTAAATAATGTTTTATCCACATAGGTAGATGTAAAAAATGTCTTTAAGGTTTAAATATTTCTTTTTTTGTATTACTTATTTTAGTAAAAAAATTGAGGAGTTTTTTGTTGTATAGTATTATATTATTATACAAGAGATAAGGCAGGCTATTATTCAAGATAAGAGATACTCAAATTATCCGAGTGAATAATGCACATAATCTCGAGTGTAATACTATAATTTATCTACTCCAATAAGTAGATAATTAAATAAATAAAATCTGATATCTGTCGAATGGTTAACCTCACTTTTTACCAATTTTAAATGTTATTATATTAGCCTTTCCCACTTTAAAGCCTGATTGGTTCAAATCAGTGAATATTGAAATCGGCTAATCGCTAATGCTAACAACGTGAATAATATTTCATTATTCCCGTTGTGGCAGGTAATTTATGTTTATAAAATAATAATAAATTCAATTATAACTGATAACTGATTTTTACCTCAAAAAGTTAAGTAATTAAAAAAATAATTTTGTTTGCTTCTTTATTTTGGACATAAAATCTATTTTTGATTCAATAAAATTAACATAAATTTTAAATTCATTTTTATTTATACAGGTTATTCTACCATTTACTAAAACTGGATCATGGAATACTCAATAATAATAAGGTAATATTTAAATTATAAACTACAGTTTTTGAAATACCAAAAGCATCATTGTCTTTTAGATTCAGAATTGTAATCCCGGCGCATCCACCATTTTTGCAAATAATATTAAATAAAACATTTTAAAAACATTAAAGTACCCTTTTAAAATTCCTCCTTGCTGTGTAATTTAAATAATAACTCTCCCTGCACTGCATTGTACAAACTTTTGCTCTTACTTCTTTTAACGCAGAAAACAGTTTGCATACAAATAAATGCTTTTTATAATGCGTTTTTAAGCCAACACGAACTTTCCATAACTAACTTTGCAAACGTTACAGACAAGAATATTAAATTAGTTGGTTTTAAAAAATCGTTACCTAATTTAATTAAGAATGTTGGGCAATTTGAATGATCGGAATAAGTTATAATTTTAAACAAATGTTTAAATAGTTATTGAAATTTCAAATTTTTTAGATAGTCTTTAAAAAAATTAAAATATTTTTTTAATATAAAAATGAATTTTAAAAAATGTAAAAATACTTTTTTGGCATATAAAAGGTAATTAGTGCGTAAATTTTTTCTAAGAGTGAGATCTTACCTTATTACTTAAACACACGATGCCATATTTACATAGTCCTTCTACGTTTAACTTGTTTTTTATATTATCGAAAGTTCTCTTTTTTACTGAATTCTAAAATAATATTTCAGAAAGTTCAAATTAATATTATTAATACTATGTTGTAAGAAAAGGACATCACAACTCAACGTGTGGAAACATACAAATTTGTAATGTAAAATTTTTGTTTGGTGATTTTTTTTATTAATGGAAATGAGCAATGTTTCTTGATAAATATACGTTTTATATACCACATATTTTAAGATTCAAGAAAATAAATACATGTCATATTTTAATAAGGGTCTTGTTAAAATATTTACATATTTTTTCACGCAAAAAGTTTTTGACATACTTTACGTAAAAAATTAATTAATTGAGGACAAAAGATCATTTTAATTCTTAAAAACAATAAAATTTGCTTCATGTCCTTTATCACCAAATATTGTAGATACAGGCTTTTAACTTATCAAGGCATATACGTCCTGAAGATACGCTTTTTGTTTTTTCACCGTTTTTTCAAAAAAAAAATTACTTTTTGTTTTTTTAATCTTTTTTTATTAATCCAATCAAGCATAGTTTTGGCATTTTGGCTCCTTTTTTCAAAACAAAAATTAATTTAGGTTTAAAATATAATTTAAAATTTTAGCAAATACAAATTAAATACATTTTTTTAGAAAATTTAGCATAAACAAAGAGAATGATAATAATAATAATAATAATAATAACAATATTTATTTCAAAAATAATTGTAATTACAAGTTTACAAAAAATAATACAATTAGAATAAAATAACGAAGAAGAAGAAGAAGAATAAAACTATAGGAGGTAGAAGGATTGTCTATTATGATTTTGTTTCTTTATAATTTACTTTAAAAACGACTATTTACCCTATCTTAATTTCCACCAATCACAAACGCGCAATTTTGAATTACAAAAAAATTGCAATTTATATTTTAATTGTACCATAAATAATTAAGTTTGTAGTATTTTGTGATTAAATAAATTACCTATTTTCAGTTTTCAAATTAATACCAACATATTTATTATGTATGCATGTAGTATATTTTGTAAGCTATGTGTATGCAGAATAACTGTTACTCACAAAATAGTCTTGCCAAATACCATTCGGACAACTAATTTTTCCTGTGAAAAAAATCGAAAAAACACAATGCTAAGTAATATTACTTAGCAACGTGTTTTTTCGATTTTTTTCGAAAAAATTAGATGCCCTTATGATATTACTTACGAAAATATCCCTAGATAATTTAGAGTTGGATTTTTTTAACTTGTTATGCGTTAATTTTGACGCGCAGTGTACGTGTTCGTAATCCAGTGCCGGATCTTCTAGACGAGAATGACAGATTGATAAAACATTATAGTTTATTATTGCAAAACTGTTTGGTGAAAGTTTACAAAAATTTATATGGCACTTATAGAGGCATACGTGCATACGAAAAAAAATTGACTAATTTTTCAATGTCTTGTTATAAAATATGCATTAATTAAAGACATAGGCTGTATTGGAGACGTATTTAATTAACGCATATCTTATAACATTACAATATTAAATCTATGATTTTTTTTCTCGCGTGCACCTATACCTGTATAAGTGGCATATAAATTTTGGTTAACATTTACAACAAAGTTTAGCAATAATAAAAGATAACAATGTAGCAATTTTGATATTTTTTACTCGGAAACCAGACGGTCAATCTTTCTAAAACTTTGTAAATGTCTTTTAAGTATCCAACCGAATCTCAAAATAATTATTTTATACTTTTTTCCTACAAAAAATGTATTTACTTTTTTCTCCAAGATTCTTTAATTTGGGGCTGTGTTTTATTTAATCTAACGAAAAAAGCAAGATTTACCTACATGCTTTTTCAATTTTCTTTTTCAAAGGTTTTTGATGTGCTTAATTTAAATAGATACTCATGTGGTTTAAATTTAAATTTAAGCCAAAATTGGAAAACGCATTTTTTCAATATTGTATCACAGGGTATTTTTTCGTATATTATACCACCAATGCTAAAATTTCTACTTACATCTCTATTACTGTTGATGTCAATTTGATCACAAGGTGAAATTGCGTCAATATTTTGGTAGTCTATATTTTGATTGTCGATTTTTGTTTCTCTTAAGTCTACTGATGCCCTGAAAAAGAAAACAAACCTCTTAAGCACATTATCTTAAAAAGCAAATTTATTCACTTTCAAATAAAAAAAATTAAAACGATTTTCTAAAAAAGCTATATGTACAAATCTTGTAAATTTTTTATTCATTTTATGGTAAGTAGGTAAGTAAGGTCTTTTATTTCGTGTGAGCTTGTAAAAGAAAAGTAACAAAGAAGTGCTTATTGGTCATTATAATATTAAAGCTCCCTGCAATATGTCAGTTATCCCTTACATTTCTTATTAAATAATTATTGAGACTATTAATATAGAACTAGATTCATAAATAAAAACTTAAAATACAACAAAAATAATTAGACATTTTTTCAATTAAATGTAAAAATATTTTAACGTCTTAATTAATCACACTCTATAACCCCAGGTCCCATCATATTGCAATAGTAAAAATTTGGATATATTTCATAGATTTTGTATGGAACAGAATTCTAAAACTAAAATAAAATAACAAATAAGTAGCTCCTCAGTACTAATAAAGAATGTGATAAAATGTCTGTCCTTATGTTTAATGTCTACTTTGTCATAAATCCCATGATGAAAACAGCTTTGTTATAAAGTACACTTAGCATTATATATAAAAAGAACTCTGTTACCCATGTAGTTTATAACTGTGACACGAGATGGCGCCGCTGCAGGCAATGGTATCCCTATTGTTATTTTGCGCGTTACAAACAAGTATTTAATATTCTTTTTCATGTAAAGTAAACCAAATTTTTTATTTTTAATTAATGCAGTGTTTTATATACATATGGTTTCACTTGAAAAATACATTTTTTTTTATTGTGATTATTTCCCTCATTATAATATGAACCAATCAAAAGCCTTGAATTTTCGAATAAATTTTGTTTAAATAAGCGATTAAATCACTAGAACTATTTAACAGCGATTAAATTTTAGCCTCCATATTGGATTTTTGTTTACGATTTTATGGTGTTATTTACAAGTTTTAACAAACATTTTTTAAAAAACAATAAAAAATAAGTTATCTAGTTTACGAAATATCAATTATTACTTATTACATACCTTAAATTAATGGAATTTTCTTTAAAAAAATATTTATAAATTTTGACACATACTTCAGATTTTATGAAGTCAAATAGTTTCCTTTAATTCGAGAAATAATCTAGACGTATATCACTCAACCTATAAATTCAATCTGTCAAACTATGCTCAGTAAGTTTTTTATTTGATTTTTCTTTTTGGAAAATAGTTTCATGCAAAATAATTAAATTATTTTGCATTCAACATTTCCAAGAAAAACCAAACAAAAAACTACTGAGCCTAGTTTAACCGATTAAATTCATAGTTCTCGTGATATAATATATGAAAAATGTCTCCTTCGTCACATGTCTCTTTTGTCACATTGTACTGCTATAGCTACGACATTAAAACTTAAAAATAAGAGGCTCTTTGAGCGAAACTTTACTAACATTAGAATTAACTTTAGTTTGCCTGAATAATAGTAACAATGGATATGAAAATGTGAAATATTTATTTTTTAGAACGTTATATCTGAAAGCAATCCTGTGATTTCATACTTTTTGAAAAATATTAAACTACCTTGTCAACACGTCATTTATCTGTGCTGTAACTTTGGCAGCTGGTACTCCGTGCTTTTCTCCCACGGAGCTGGTGGTGGAGCTGCAACAAGACGAGTTGCTGCTCATTCCGACCCTGCCTTTTTCCACGAGGGACATCAGGTCGTGCACGGGCCTGGGCGGGTAGTACGGCCCTGTCGTGCCCAAAGATAAGCCGGTGCTGTGCTGTCTGATCCGCGAGCTGCCCATCTCGGATTCCGAACTGGAGTCGCCCCCGTCTATCGAGTAGGTTTTGACTGCAACAAAATAATCAATTTTTAGGATTGAGTTTCAAGGATCAGAGATGGATTAAGGTTTATATTAGGGTGGGTCAAAAAAACCGACTATTTTTTTTACTTTGTACTCTGAAAAATCGGTTACTAGACAACTCTAGAGAATTCTCACCAAACATGAGCTCTTAATTTTGATAACAAGGTCCTCCGCTTTACAATTTTCCATTTTTTCCTCAGTATTGGAAACAAAAATTTATATCTCTTCGACAACTGTTCGTTAAAAAATAACTCACTTACAAAAAATTTTTATGAATCGCGCAACTCATAGTTTTGTAGGAAATTAACTGCTCTACAAAAATGGTCTCTTATGATTTGTCGATTAAATTAAGCGTTTAAAAGATATTCATCGTCAAACTTCAATGCATACTAATTTTAACAGTTTTTGATAAATAATTCGAAAAATTTCAATTTAATTTTTGAGTTTTACGAAAATTTATACAAATTCGAGTTTCTATCGTAAAAGTAACTCTTATAGAAGTTTCCCTTTCGAAAATTTATTTGAGACTTTTTTATTTTAATAATATTTTCATGAAATTTATCTTTATAATAACTTAAAATCATAAGCAATTGAAAGTTGTTAATGATTCGGCAGAGCGAGCTGTTGCATTAGTCGATGATTATAACCAATGCTTAACAAAAAATGAAGAGCAATTTTAATATTTATTGCAAGTTATAAAAGAACATCGCAAACAATACCCAAATTGTAATAAAGAAAACTTTTTACAGTCAAAGTGTACGATTATATTATAAATGTTAAAATTTTTATTTCAGTTGATAAAATTGAATAAAGAAACTTTTTAATAACAAATAGAAATTTTTTTTTTCTTCAAGATCAATTCTTTTCATATTAAATTTATGACAAAAACGTTATTTTTTTCAAAATTTAATAAATCATTCAGTTAGAAATAATGCACTATTTTTCATTTCAATATAACCAAACATATGTAGGACTAAAAAAAACGAGAAAAATAGTTTATCTTTTCATAGAAACTCAAATTTGTATAAATTTTCTTAAAACTCAAAAATTAAATTGAAATTTTTCGAATTATTCATCAAAAACTGTTAAAATTAGTATGCGTTGAAGTTTGACGATGAATATCTTTTAAACGCTTAATTAAATCGACAAATCATAAGAGACCATTGTTGCGCGATTCATAAAAATTTTTTGTAAGAGAGTTATAAAATTCATAAGCAAAACAGAAATTTCTCTTAAAATAATTAAACTTTAACCTTCGATATCTTTTTAACGGTGAGGGTTACGAAAAAATTGTAAGATACCTTTTTTGTAGAGCGTTTGATTTCCTACAATATGTGGAGTGTTATTTTTTAACGAACAGTTGTCGAAAAGATATAAATTTTTGTTTCTAATACTGAGGAAAAAATGGAAAATTGTAAAGCGGAGGACCAAAATTAAGAGCTCATGTTTGGTGAGAATTCTCTAGAGGTGTCTAGTAACCGATTTTTCAGAGTACAAAGTAAAAAAAAATAGTTGGTTTTTTTGACCCACCCTAGTTTATATGACAAACTTTTTCTCCTAACATTAAGTACTCCAGCTCAGTTTAACTAATTTTGGGCCGCTCATTTAAAAAATGTCATTAGTTTTTCTCTAGGACGTCTAGGATTTAAAATAATTTCGTAATAAAATGCTCTGCTCAATCACCTCAAAATGTTTTTTGTTAGTATTTTAATTATTTATTAAATTATTTTGGCTTAAATTTATCTTGAATGTACTGAAGTAATTGGTATACAACAAATAGATCATATTTATCTTAACAATATGACATTTTAAATACTAAAACTAAAATTTTAATGTATTTTATGTAAAAAAAAACAACCATTATTTGACATTTTTTGTCGTTTATTTTAATTATTAAATTGAAAGGGCAACAAAGTAAACAAATTTCAGTATTCTTTATCCAAATTAAGCCCTCAAAATTTAATGCATTCCATAATTTTGCTTTTTTCTACCTTAAATTTATTAAATCGTATCAAATATCGAATTGGATTATAGTATTATTGTGCTTAATCCTCATCATCGTCGTACATCTTTTGCTGCAAATTTCAGCAAATGTCTCCTAGCAATGAATCCAACTTCTTTCCGCTATACCCATAGATATTTACTTGGTAAAATCGTTATCCATATTCATCAGTTCGGCAAATTTATCAGGATAAAAAAAAGAAAATGTAATTTAAATAAAACATATTAACGCTAATTCTTTATAAAATGGAGAACATTTTTTCAATGAATTGGCTCCAATTTTAGGCCTGATATGAACCAAGAACATTTTCAATAATAGCTTGAACACTGCCATATGCGACAAACTCGTCAACTTTTGAAGCATTTTTGAATGCATTATGCTCATTAAACGTGGTATATATAAGGTCCATTTAATATTCTTGAAAAATTAAAGTAGCATGTATATCTCATAAAATATGTAATGAAATATTGCGTTAGTTTTTCTTGGGCGTAAAGGTACCGCAACAAATACAAAACAAATTTACAACGGCGACATAAAGGTTCGTCTCCTTTCTCTTTCTCTGCCACTTCCATTACCACTTCCATTTCCTGCTCTTTTTTCATTTTTGGTTTTTAAAATCACTTTAAAGTAAAAATACAATTTAAAGTTAAAATTTTAAATGTCAAAAATTAATAGATGCACTTTAATGTGCTAGAACGATAAAGTAGGTAAATGCGCCTTTGTACTTCATTTCCATATTAAATTTTAATAAGACTTAATTAATAAGATTGGAGATTAAATTTTTGAGTAAGTACTTTAGACATGATTTGAATAAAAAATACCAAATAATAGTCGAAGAGTAATGTTTATTCCGAAACCCATTTACTTTGTTGTCTTTTCAATTTAATTAGTAATTAAAAAATGATACTTTTTATCAAAAAAAACATTATAACTTTAGTTTTGGTATTTAATAAATTTGACATTTACTATCGCTAACAAAAAAAACTCATACAGCTATATTGTGGCTGTGTGAATAAAACTTTTCCGTCAATGTCAAGCTGACATCGAGCTTTGTCACATCCATTATGACTTTTTTAACAACATTTTCAACCAAACAATGCAGACAAACTCTGGCAAGCCATTGAAGCCATTTGGAACGAGATAAAGTAAGACGGCGACTTCCATGCTTTGCCGTTTGCGGGCAGTAATTGACAAAACAGAGGGATGACGAAATATTATTTTTTTTTCAAACTTCAACCTAACTTTGTATTTAATTTTAGACCTTTCAAATGTGACGTATCATGTTAAAAGCCATAATTACTCCAACGAAATGATAGAAAATCAGGAACACTAGATTTTTAAGCTGTATGAGTTTTTTTTGTTAGCGATAGTATCTACCGATGACTACCTGTATATTTTTGAAAAAAAACGTCAAAAATATACTGAACATCCAAAATAGATTTAATGCAAAATAATTTAATAAATAATCAAAATATTAACGAAAAACTTACATTTTGAGATAATTGGGCAGAGCATTTTATTACGAAATTATTTTAAATCATAGTCTAATTAGATTTTTAGTTTATAGAAATTATGAAAGTTTTGTGATTTATATTTTATAATATCTTTAATTTTTATAATATTTTTAAAATTATTAATGATTTTGTAATAATAATTTTTAATATAATATTTTATATTTTATATTCACTTTTTATTATTATTTTTAGTAAACAAAAAACCAATGAAACTTAAGTCATATATTATATAATATTTGACCCCTTTTTCTTAATCCGGCACTGACAAAGGCCATCCACGATATTATCTCCTGTTCCCTACGCTCACTTTATAAAACGGGAAATAATCATAATATCAAAGTTACATGCATATTTAAAATAAAATCGATAGCGACCTTGGTCCACCACAGGTAATTCGATTATTAGTTTCTAATATTGTGAGGGTTGAACTTGGCCTTAGTAACCCGAAAATTTCATTAGGTAATGGTTTACTTGATATTTATTGAAAAGGTCGTTTTTTTTGTTAGAGAAATGAAGAAAAAAGTAAATTGGATGCCTTATTAGGAATTACTTAATTAAATGTCTTGTTAGAATAAATTGCTTTTTTGATCGATAATCAAGTGTAGCTTCCACAAACGTAATAAATAAAATAATGTTTCTCGATTTTTATGTAAGAATGTCATATTCTCGCACGCAAAATCGTTGAAGAATGAAGCTCATTCTTAAACGATTTTTGGTAACATTTAGTTTTTAAGTATTGGTACCCCCAAAATGTCAAACTGTTTAATAACCTCAAATTCATTACTTTTATTGAAAATGAAGCCTTTATTATTGTTTTGTAATATTAAGTTTGCTCCAACAATGCATTTTAATGCAAAATTTTAAGTTTTATGTGAAAAAGTGCAGTTCAGGTTGTACTTGTGCAGGATAACAAATATTGTCATTTTGTGTTGCCAACTGACATTTTGCGAGAAAAATCCCCCAACTAACAACGACCACAAAACAATTAAAAAAACCTAAATAAAAGTTAAAATCGAGAAAATAGTATAAATCACACGTTGCAGAAGGCTATTCTCGTACTCATTCGTTCGTCCACTCGCTCCTTCGTCGCTCGAGGCCAAATTTCGAATTCGTGCGAGAATATGTGGCCTTCTGCAACTTGTACTTTAATATACTATTTTGCTATGATTTAGAATTTTTTTAATTTTTAAGTTTTTATTATTTTTATATAATTTTTTATTAATTACAGGAAAAAATGCCTGTTAAGTTTGGTCCACTTAAAAGGCTTATCCCTGCTCAAGAGTACTGTGCAAGTTTTTTTAAATTTAATTTAGTAAAAATACATTTCCATAAGTGAATATTTCCTTTTTAGAAAGGTCTGCCGGATGCATATCAGAAAATCAGGAATATCAGAAAGTATTAAGATTTAAAAAAATATCTGTTGAATTCTAAGCAAAATAATCGAGAAAATTAAGCTCCTTAGAAATAAGGT